TTTTATGTGCAGGGAAGAGTAAGGCTGGCTTAAGTTTCCACGTGGACAGCGCCATCAGGTTTGGAAGAGGAGGTCAAGTAGAAAGGAGAATCAAGCACAGTGTATGAAACGGAGGCTCAAATTAAGTTTTCGTGTCATCGAGCCACACATCAGAAAAACATTTGCTTCAAGACTGAAACAGCAGCCGGGTGACGTGGCAATAAGATGCACACCTTCATATCAAGTAGAAAGGCCAATCAAGTAAGATTTTACCTTCTAACTATTTTATCATGTACTTAGAAAACAATTATTAATTTAATTAATACAATATTTTGCAATAAAAAAAAGTTTGAAAACCTATGTAAATAGTCGTAATATGAGACAGTTTTTCACTTATGCTATATCGAGTGACAAAGACCCGAACCCGATAATATTTGACAAGACTCTAATCTAATTTGAGGATCCTTTGTAGGGTTTGAGCCAGGTCCTTTAGAGAGGTTTTAGAAATAATTTTCAGTAACAGGTTTCTGTCAAAGCTACAATACAATATAACTAAATTTAACAAGATTTGAAGTGAAACTGCCATTTTGATACAGTTATCGTGTCCGTGAAATGATCAAATAAAAGAGTAATTCAGTTATAAAAAGTTAAATAGTTTAATAAATTGTCGTAATGAATTTGTTATTTCATGTTCTCTTTAAGTTAAATCACTGATATAATAAAGTTGACACCTTAACATGTTAAAAATAATAAGTTTAATTTACAAGATAGGGAAATATTTCGAATTCGTACACCTGATGTTTTGTGAATTACTTTTGTAGTAAAAGAAATGATAAGAGTATGTTGAAGAAATAGAATCTGAATACAATCTAAGCAATATGTAATATTGTTAAATATAAAGGGTTTAATCGGATTACCATATATAAGAAAAATGAAAACTACGTAAAGCATATATAAACTTAACTATTAGACAATGTAAATTTGCCATAGAAGAATATACATATATATGTATATAGTATACACTCAAATTTTTGTTTGCTCCCATTTAATTATGTTATAATTTCCTACTTATTTGAAATGATACATTCTTTTAGATAAGCTATAAGAAATAACTCTATATAAAACGACATATAAAAAGAACTCTGTCTTAATCTACACATAACTCATACAGTCAGTGACAATGAGATTTTTCAATCCAGAACTGATCTAATTAAAATAATATTTTATCCATTATGCATGAACGTTCATGTCAGTAATAAAACATTTTTGTTTCTAGGTGACACGTTTAGGATAACCATTGCAATAACGTGCGGGACGGACTCCATCCACAAGCCAAACAAGGTAAGCTAACTAGAAAATAAGTATTCGTATTTAAAGCGATATTTTGTTTGCACGTTAATTTGACTTGTTATATTTACAGTCCTGGATTAAACTAAGCATAGATACATTTTCTGTGCCTTCTAATGAATACAAAACGAAATAAAATTTGTTACATTAAATTTCATTTTGTCACAAAATAAATAAATTGAGATAAAAGTATCATTACTTAAATATTTACTAGATGAAAATAATGAGGATGCGAAGTGAAATTTTAAATATAAAGTTTATACTTGATACCAATTCTAATAATTTAAACGATATTTTTATTATGAAAAAACGAATGTTTTATATATTATATACATATGTACTTATTTAAAATATGGATTAATGTATTAGCGTCATCCGATTACACCGTGAATACCTAGACCACATAATTTTGTTATTATTATATTAAACAAAATATTTATATTATAATTAACAAATACTATGTGGTTATGAAACCGCTTTATTAAAAATAATCACAATGTATAAAATTGTTAAATTAATTATGTAGTTTGTTTGCTAATTTTATAAGGGGAGTTAAACATAATATTTTGTAGCTAATAATATGAAATTATATACAAGCATTTGTAAATATGATATTTTAGTCTTTTTCAAATTCATTTTCATAATATATGTATTTGTATACATAGAACATTTTTGAAATCTTAATGTATATTTATGTTTATAAAGTGCTTTCTTTTAAACGAAATACTCCATAAATTCTACGTAATACGAGTATAGCAAAACTGTAACAACATGTAACATTCACAGCTTTAAACAGCTAATTACAACGATAAGAGAGTAGTTGTCTCACTACAACCTAGCGGCTATGCCGGGAGTGTTCAATAATTTTCTTTTCTCATGTCAAAGCTGTTAGCCCTGCGGCTTTGATATTGTCACCGGAAAAGTTGACGTTATGCTCGGAAATGTATATATTCTTGAATCGTACCTCCAAACCATAGTCACGCTATTATAAAGTTCACATAAACCATGCCATAAGCCTGTTTAGGGTCTCTCTTCTAACAGTATATATTATTTATGAAGACAGAAGAAGTGTAAATTAGTTCTCCTCATCTATTAAAGAAACTTTCTAAACGCGTGTTTAAGTTCTCGATTGACTTCAAATTGCATATACTAGTTGAGCATATAGTATTTTCTTCAATTTCATATTCCTAACGACGCGACGGTTCTTTTGTTTTTGCATAGTAAAAATATTCTAATCGAATTAAATAGCTTAATAGTTAGCTTATTGCGTGGTCTGTCGTACTTGTCAGTATTGGGGGTAAAATTTATAATAACGTATCTATTAATAACACAAACTGATATTTCACTGATACATTACTCAACATATTTATATTGATATTTGCATAATTACATATATGAAACACATACTTAAGGTGTAGTTTTAACATTCATAATCGATGTGCAGTGACGACAACTATCATAACCACTCTTTCAAATTAAATTAAATCCCGTTGAGAATATATTGTTATAGATTACAATTTAAATAAGAACAAAAGATTTCGAGAGAAAATATATGAAGACTTATGGTCGATTATCAAAAGCTAGACTATTTTACAGACAAAGAAGCCAATAAATTTAAGCTAGGTACACATACATATATTATTTTAATATATATCTTTATATGCTTTCAAATCTTGATGTGACCTCTTTAGATAATTGATTATTATCAGTTTTAATGTAATTATTTACGTTAATTGGATCTTAATAATACTATTATTACTATGTAACTTAGAAATTTGGGAGTAGATGAATCAAATACATTGATAGCTCCAGATTTACCCCAACTAGTCGCACATAATTGGTTGTGATACTAAGTTATCCCGCGGATTCAATCCATAGTGAAAGCTTCTTTTTATGTGTTCAGTTTTGAGAAAAAAAAATAACAGATTTATTTTATAATAATAGTAGTAATAGTCACCGTTTTTGTGATTATTACTTTAATGTTATACACTTATTCCATATATTGGTTTCCAATAAATCACTAAATTATGATTTTTACATTCTAAAATGCCAATATAATCATAGTGCTTTTATTAAATATAAATTAAATTCATACAATTCAATGAAAGCATGCATAGAAATAAAGAATTCTATTGATTTAATTATATAAATATAATGTGAGAGTATGGTTAACGGATTTTATAGAAAAATTCCATTATTATTTCTTATATTTATTATATTTGAACACATAATTTTTTTTCTGGTATTCCAAATTCCGTTGAAGTTTGCCGAGGTAATGAAAAATACGTGGGACTTACGTACAAACGATTACAAGATTACAAAGTCGGTCATTAGGTATGCTTGTAAATATACTGAAACTCAAGCGTCTGCTATATTTAACTAGTTTTATATATATATATATATATATATATATATATATATATATATATATATATATATATATATATATATATAAACTAATAAACAGCCCTTATAAAGATTACAATTATACTTATAATCAATCGCTGATTGGCTATTTGAAATTAAAAACAATCAGTATAAAAAAGCAATTAGTAACTTCAAGAAGTAGTTGCAAAAACTTGTAAGGGCGGAAGTTCTAAGAATCGTAGTGTACATGTCATGCCCAAATACGCAGTAAAAGTTTTAATTAATACAAGAAAGCTACATTATTCTTACACGACACGAATACTTGACACTTGTTGTAAGAGGACATCATATATGGTATTAATTATATTTTATCTTTGAACTAGAACTGACAGAATATGTAGGAAATATATTTGAAACGAATTTATAATACTTTATATCTTCACTAGCTTTCCGCCCGCAGCTTCGCCCGCGTGGAGTTCGGTTATATCGCGTTTCCAAGAGAACCTTTCAAAAGTCTGGGATTAAAACTATCTTATGTTCTTTCTCAAGGTCAACTCTATGTCTGTACCAAATTTCATTAAGATCAGTTCAGTGGTTTAGGCGTAAAAGCGTAACAGACAGACGGACAGAGTTACTTTCGCATTTATAATATTAGTAGGGATATTTAAAATTTAAAAAGCTTCTAACCAAGAAATCAATATATGTAGTTGCTTGTAACGTACCATAATTGGATTTAACCAGGATAAATCGATGACTATGAAATAGAGATGCAACATTCATAATATCCTGGATCGGTATTAGCAATGGAATGTCCATTGGTGTTCACTTATTACTAATTGTCTTGACAAACAGATTGAGACGTTCGATGTTAGACTTCCTGTTAATAAACTACGACCTAAATAGTGTTACTAAGAACAAACAGATTTTGATATTATCAATGATAATTAAAACCATATTTGAATAAATGAAACTAATATTAGACGGATTACTACGTGCATTTTATTATTTTAAAAACTACATACTCTTGACGTTTCGGTTACATTTCAGCACCCGTGATCATGGACAGACAAGATGTGATATTTCGACATCGCGAGTAAATCCGAATAATATTAGTTTCATTTAAATGATTACTCGCGAAACTCTTAGATCACAAATTTGAGTACCAATGCATTTGTTGTCGGGTTTTCGTTTCGGATAAATATGAGTTGTGTTGGTGTGAAAATATATTGTATTTTTTCTGTCTAAAATCGCGGCTTCGCCTTTCATACATTCTTCAACAAAATAAATATTCTATGGCCTGGTTAAAATTACCACGAGGCGATTGCATCGTTCTTTGTTTCACCTCTTTTTAAATATTTTATTTCATTAATTTGAATTTCAATCTAAAAAATATTATGAATTATATCCTGTATATATGGCTCCATGATTGCTAGCAACCAGTTAGTAGTTTATGGGACTAACGTACGTTACACGGTTTAATTGTTTGACTGTTCCAGAATAACTCCAAACAGTCACAATTCCGACTGTAATGTAATGACGTGTTCTTCCCGTTCCGTGTCTCTCAATATAAACTTTGCTCAACTGCTTCACTCCCAGTCAGATTCAAATTCAACAGTCTTTTATTTTAGATGTTGAATTGAATCACACGACCACTAATAAAAGTAAGTAATTACGTACAAAATGTATTCTATACCTATATATATATATATATATATATATATATATATATATATGGCTACTTATTAGCACATTTATCTGTGATTTAAAAGCAAGTTGGGATACTTTAAATATAGTAAATATGTATCTATTTTAAACTCAACATTCTCAAGTTATTGTGTTATATTTTAGTTATTAGTTTTATACTCTTAATAACAAGAAATGATTGTAAAACTATAATGTTTTTTTTACCAATAAACAAAGCAATAAAATTCGTAAATTAGAGTAGAGTTAACTTATTTTAAGGCTGACATCGAGACTTAGAATCTATAATCTGGGTTTAATGATAGGTAGACACAGTAATTAATATTTTTTTGGTATTAGTTTAATTTATTGGTTTTATATGTTGGATAATTCCGTCCTCTTTGAATTATCTGTACATTAAGATTTCTGTACTTTACAATATGTTCTAACTTATCCGCAATGATCAGTTTTAGTATTTAACATTTTAGGTTCTGATATATACATTTAAAAAGTAATAATCTTATCTACTAGCAACTGCTCTGGTATTTTATGAAAAAATATTTTGAATTCTTCAAAATACTTGCAATCTATCTGTTAGGATTTTTTTTCTTATATGGTCAAGTAAGTCCGATGAGTTGAACACGATTGTTCCTCTATTTTAATACGAGTAAGAGAATATTAATTATTTTCCTTAATATTATAATATAAAATCGAAATGTCGCATGTCAAAAAATTTATAACACAATTCTTTAGTGATGCCAGCTTATTTTTTGATAATAATTCATACTGCGACTTTTTTAGGCACCCCTTTTGTTTGGCAAACATATGAATAATACATAGCTTTCTGCAAAAAGATGTGACTGTTGTTTTGGTTAACAAACTCATAACATTGTATTTTCTAAAAATGAACTATCACGAGAACAAGATGTAGAAACATCGAAAGGCACAACTCAACTACAAAGACGATTGTTTCTGTAATGGAATCGCTTTATTTCATCTAATTTTAATGAGTTTTCCGTAATATAGGCAAGTCCCGGGGATATTTACGCAATTCAAATACCTTACCATCTTACACCATTTCTATTTCTGTCATTTTAATATTAAATTGAACCGGAAAATTCTCACGGAATCCATACAAAGTTTATAGCATTCATAATCAAGTTATCGGGGAACTTTCGCTATAATAAATAAATAAAAATATCTTTTAAAATTGAGTGTCCATCAGCTATAAATTATAATTAATAATCAATTTAAATCAATTTAAATCTTTTCTTCTTCCAAACTTTTAATGGTGCTTCGTGTATGCATATATTTTCAATGTTTAAATAGCAATTATAAAAGATAATTTTTGTTCATATTTTTCCGGCGTTAGATTTATTTTAAAGTTTTTTTTTTAATTATAGTAAACCCATATCATTGTAAGAATTTGTGTGAAATTTGTCGAATGAAATTATAGCTCTTTGTTAGACATTCGCTTAAAAAAATTGTTAAAGACTTTTACAAAAGCAAAACATTTAATTTAATATATGAATATATAGTTATTTTTAAAGCTGATTCAGTACCTTTATTCAATTGTAGGCTGCCTTTAAATTTAAATCGGAAAGTATTCCGTTTTATTTGAGAGGTTGACATAAAAAAATATTTTTAATTTTCGCGACAATACTTCAATGGATCTATTTTGTTTGACTTTTGAAAATGTCAAAGAAAATGTGAATAGTCTTTATTTCGATGCATTGCCTCTTTGACTGGACTAAAAGGGACATGGATGAATATTTTATATATAAATTTATATATATCTCTTTGTTACAAAACTTTACATTTATCTACTTCAAACACGAAGGCTACTTAACTTATTTTTGGTAACGCCTACAATTTCTTTGGTCTCATTACAATTTTGTTATCATTAGCAAATGTTTTCAATAGGTATATGACTTAAATGTAAAGTTTATGTACTTAAATAAACATACTTCTTAAATACGAATGGAAAAATAAAATAGCGTTAAATGGAATAATTGTATCTAATCATTTTATTGTTTTATTCTTGAAAAATCATAAAAAAACTATAGGATTTATTTCCATATTTTAAGGTGGCCAATTCTTTTAGGAAGTTTTAAAATAATGATAAGATTTTTAACTACGTTTATCGCACAGATGGTCCACAATTTTCTCGCGGAGTTAAGCCGATTAAATTTTTTACTATCCCTGAATTAATTCTTCTAAGATTCTTAGTATTCATATTCAAGATCATATATCAATATCAAAAATAGTCAGATTTTTATACTAAAATATACGCATTTTCATAAAAAATAACATATTGCAATTAATTTAATGTATGTGGTAAAATATTATGGTTCCTGTTTATTTCGTAACTTTGAAATTACTCGGTATTCTTACATACTGCAGAAAAATAAGCAGCGTTAGTATATTTTTGTATTTATATTTTTATGATATCTATAAAAATAGTATATTTTTTTTAAATATTTAATAGCGGAGTATATTAAAAATTCTAAATTTAATTGAGACTATAATAATTTATCACAGAAATGCTCTTTTGTTTTCTTTTTTATTTTTATTTATAGTACAGTCTATATACTTGTACAATACTTTATGCATTATGCGATTGATTAATTAAAGATCCTTAGACTTTAAACATATATAAAATAATACTACTTACTGCCAATTAATACCAATAAATACGTCGTTTATGACTTATATTTAAAAGTGCATAGAGCTTAAAATATCAGAGGCCGCAGAACGTAATCCCTGCGTGGATATTAGGCGATGTTCTGCACATTAAGTAATCTAAATTATTCTGGGACATTCGTGAACAATAGTTTGTATCCTTTACTACGGACTAGTACGATCCTGTTAAGTTTTAAAGACTCGGACTTTAAATGGATTTTGCTCTGTAATGTGGTATATTAGGACCTTTTGTTAGTCGTGTTATTTCCGGGAATGAGCAAGTTTTACATAAATCTTCGTGATTTTGATTTGAACAAAAACCATCCAACTATTAATATTATGAATGGAATTTTGATATATTATATGTATACATTACTTATTCAGCAAAACTGTTCAAATGAATCGGATATTTTTATGAATATAAAGCTAATATTTACTACATTATATAACAATGATTTAAACTTTGTATTCAATTGTAATGTTTATTCAAACTATGACTAAAATAATCTGGGACTGAATATCTGAAAACACTTGTTAGTATTAGGTCTCAGTCTTTTAAACTTATAAGTACTAACACAATTTACACTCAAGATAAACATTGTGATACAACAAGACCAAAATTTCTCAAAATCCATGTCGTGTTTTCAGAAATAAAATTTTCCAACAAGTTTCTTATCTTCACGAACAACGTCGTTAAAATTTGAGACATATTCTGTCAATGCTTGATACCTTCATAAATTGAGTAGAATTTTCTCATAAGAGATTTGTCTTTAATCTAAAATGTTAAAACATATTATATGTTGTGGAAATATGTAATTAGATTACATTTAACAATTTTGATTGGACTGTTTACTAATTGTCGCTTTAATTAGATCACAAAATTATGTATAATCTAAATATATATATATTGCTTTTCGTTATGTTTTACGTGTTTCACCATGAACAGTAATGAATATATCTTTTATTAGAACATGAAAAACTATTTTGCATCCATTAACACGCGAGATAACCTGACGCCATACACTACAACGATTAGAAAGCTTAAAACTTAATTAAATATAACTTTCCTTTATTTTTCTAAGATAACTAATTAAGCATTTTGATTAGGCTTTTTAGTTGGGTCGGAATATATGCGCAAACATTAATATGTCTTACGTTGAGAAAATCTTGTCGACTCTCTGTTGATCGAACATTTCAGCAAACCAATGGTTCTCCAAGTACACTTGAAGGTTTTCTTGCAGGTCAAGTGGCTCGTCATTAACGGGAGCAAAAGTTATTTTATTTTAAGGGTATATTTTAATAAGAATAAGTTTGAACATTTTGTTCCAATATGTCACTATTGTACTAACCCACTAAACCACATTGGAGTTGCGTTGTGGTTTATTCTCCTAGCCCTTTTTATCCCTTAATTAGGGGTGAAGCTGTGGATAATTACATTAGCTTAGTTTTCATCTATTAAAACAAAAGTCCATTAAATAAATATGAACTTTGTATTACATAATACATAAGTTGGACTTAATAATTCAATTTCAATAGAAACAATGTACATTTACAGTGAACATGCAGATTAGAGTAAAATACATTTCCACGTAATTTTGTATTGTACCGCATACTGACTGCACTGCTCGTATAGTTTAAAATGAAATTTAGAATATTATTGATATTTAACTCGTCGTCCAACTGGTCGACCACCTGATCGTCCAACTGATCGTCCAACTGATCGTCCAACTGATCGACCAACTGGTCATCCAACTGATCGACCAACTGGTCGTCCAACTGATCGTCCAACTGGTCGACCAACTGGTCGTCCAACTGATCGACCAACTGGTCGTCCAACTGATCGTCCAACTGGTCGACCAACTGATCGTCCAACTGATCGACCAACTGATCGTCCAACTGATCGTCCAACTGGTCGACCAACTGATCGACCAACTGATCGTCCAACTGATCGACCAACTGATCGTCCAACTGGTCGACCAACTGATCGTCCAACTGATCGTCCAACTGATCGTCCAACTGATCGTCCAACTGGTCGACCAACTGATCGTCCAACTGATCGTCCAACTGGTCGACCAACTGATTGACCAACTGATCGTCCAACTGGTCGACCAACTGATCGTCCAACTGATCGACCAACTGATCGACTAACAGATCGTCCAACTGGTCGACCAACTGATCGTCCAACTGATCGTCCAACTGATCGACCAACTGATCGTCCAACTGATCGTCCAACTTGCTTATATCTAAAAACAAACAGGGTCTAACCCTCGCAGCGTCTACTCAGCTTTACACAATACAATATTTGAATCCAGTTCCGGTTATGAATCTTTAATATATGTAGGTACAAAAATATAACACGATTCTCATATAAATTTCTTTAACACGAACGAGAAAAACTTGTACGAAAATTTACTAAGAATATAGAAACTCTGGATAAAATCTTTATACTTTGATCATATATATTCCTCGATACTCACTTGCTATCTAATGCGAACAAATTTTGTATATCGTTGATTGCATACATTTGGTACACAAAAAGCTTTCTTTTCAATTTACTAGGTGTAACTTGTCAAAATCGTGCTGTCAATAAATTGTATTAAATGTTACTGTGTTATAAATATAGGCATAAATTGTGTTCAAATTATACGAGATAAAAAGAAAATTTTATTTGCAATGTCATAGAAAATCTGGAGGCAAAATCATCATACTAAATGAAATTTTTAATTCACTTTATTAATAATAACAAGGAAATAGTCCAAACTGACAAAACAGATGACGTTACTATGGTTACAAGAAATCAGGGCTGTGATTGGACAATTGAGTTTTGACAATGCCATTAACATTCGGTTAGCCGACATTCCGTCTAATGGACGGAGCTCCAGAGCAGGAATTGATATTAGTGGCTGATTAAGACATTTAAACGGACATTTGTGCGTGGTGGGACGCTCGATACATCTAATAGAGCATCAAACGCCTTAACACGATTTTACTTATTTAACATTGATTGGTGAAACTGGGTCTAAGACTAGATATTGTCCACGGATCGTTAATGAGTACTGGTCACTTATTTAACGCGTATAAAAACGTGTAAAAGAAAGTTTGAGTAATAAGACGCGATCATATCATAATTTAGTGAAAATGATTTGAATCTATAAAAATAATATTCGTTATGTAATCTCCGACCCAAAAAGCGGGGTGTTATAAAATTGATGTATGTAGATGCTGCGTGTGTGTCTGTATGTGGAATGGTAGCTCTCAAAGGGATCATCCAATTTCGATGTTTTTTTTAATCTGAAAGCCAATTACTTTGCAGTAGTTCTTATCTATGTTTGGCTAATATCGATCAAATGCAGGAGCACTTTTTCAAAATGACGCAACTTATTTTTGTCCTATGATTACGTGGTCTTGAAATGACAATTGATGTGTGGTCTATTTTTTATTAAATAAATTTTTCAGTTATTTATATTTTGGCAACTATTTTATTAGGTTTATATAAAACTTTAAATCCTGTTTCCCATATCTAATTACAGAAAATGAAATTACCACGCAGCTTGATACTGAGTGATTCATGGCGATTCATACTACAAGACTGCTGTTTTGCTCCGATACGTTTTTCATCAAATGGAACTGGTTGCTTACTTCCACGTTGTTTCAAAATTTTTAATATCATCGCCGTTACAATAATTGGTTAGTTAATACTGTTATTAAAATTTTTTTCAAGTCACAAAATGAATCCTGGGGGTGTTTAGTATGATCATTGGAAACCTGTTCTTATTCAAAGGATACTGTATACATATACTATGTATAGTCACATTATTTTTAGTAAAGACGAGGATTATATTATGCACAAATACATATAATAGTATGAGGCAATGTATTTTAAAAATGAAGTGATAAAATCTTTGAACATCTATAACGATCAGTAAAGCATAATAAATATTTGTAATAGAATAAATTATTTTATTTAAATGCTGCATATTTAAGATTAAAAACAAAAACAAAAACATATTATTGATACATAAAATTATTTCAATAAAACACTACAAGGACATTAAACCATATACGAATACTTTCATGTGTAATTGAAACTTTGGAAATAATATACAAATAAGGAATTATATAAATGGTCTATTTTATCTTATTTATTAATTTTCAATATATAATACTAATTAGTATTTACATTTTTAGGACTGTTTCTGTCATACAGCGTTCACTATTTCATAACAATTAGCACGGACAGTGTTTACCAAAGAAGATTCTTATTTTACAGCGTTCAAACAATGTTAAATATGACAATATTTCTTTATGGAGCTTTCAAGAATGAAGTGAGGATTAAAAACTATCTGATGTATGGAAGTAAAATATATAAGGTATGGTATTTACTTTTAAGAATTGTTAAATGACTATCTATTAATATATCAAAACTAATTTCAGACAATAAGATGCTTAAGCACTGGTAAAGAAATGCCAAAATTAGGATGGCAATTTCATCTGGACACATGTTTTTGAGGCATTCTCGCAATGTTTGATGATGTTCCCGTTAATGAGATTTTTGTTATAATGTGTAACCATTTATTATGGCATCATTATTCAATTTACTGCCATAAATCTTCTCCAGCTGCAATTTGTGAATATGGCAAATTCCATTTAAAATGTTCAGAGCAGAACTAAAAATAGAACTAACTAGATTGACTGACAGTGGATTGTTAGTTTTAACTTGATCATTATATTTCAAACAAACAATTTATATATTAAGTATTGTATTGTTAATTTCATGGACTTTAAAGTTAGCATCAAAAGAATTTACGTTCACTAAAAACATTATAATTTCTGTTTCAGGGATTTAAATATAACTTTGGAATCAATCAATGCTGCCATTGATAGGAACGGTGCAGTCGATAACACACCTCAGAGTACGTTAATACGAATATTGTCTCATTAATACATAATTAAGTTTTATGTTATATATTCGACACATATTTATTATTTTTTTAGATGACAACAGTTTTAAAAGGCAGTTAACAGCGCAGAGGATCAGTCAAATCAAAAAGTCCTTCGTATAAACATGTGATGTTTTAAAGGATTTCAATACCTCAGATAACTTTATGTTATTTTTGTTACTTGTGTCGTTTATTTTCAATATTGCATTAACGATATACAGTATTCTTCGTACACTAGAAGGTATAAATTGAAAATTGAACAAAATTGTAATTGTTTTGTATTATAATTTTTGATTTCAATGATGACCAGAATTTACTTATCTTTCATGAACCGGACAAATATGTTATTAAAGGAAAAAAGAAGAGTGTTTTAATTTTGATTAAAATTATATTTAAATATTTTTTTAAATAGAATTTTATGTGTAAATGTCATGTTCTTGCCTATCAGCCTATCAGAAGCTCACTGCATATATTCTTATATAAATATATTTATTTTCTGTTACTTTAATAGCACGATTCAATTCCTATAATGAGTTTATGACCAATGTTGCACTTTGAGAAGCTAAGAAAAAAAATATTTTAGCTACAAAACTCTATGGATCGTTTTGCACTTCTATTAATGTTAAACCTAAAACTTTATATTATTGGATTGTAAGAAAATGTTACTGCTCCAAGTATTTGACTTTAATAAAAAAAAGTATAAAGTATAGCCTTAAGAATCGTTATTGAAATACATGTCTTTAAAATACACAAAACACTGATAAACATATTTGTTATATATTTTTTTATATACATATTAGTCTTTGTAATAAAAATAAAGCATATTATTTGTTATGTGAAGATGATAGCATACATACAGCGTTCATTTTTTTGTCAAGTATCTTAAGTTGCCTATAGAAATCTTCAATATAAGAGTAATTGTCAATGAGGTGCCGGCCTTAAATTTCTGCGAGAAATTTGTTTTTAAACCATATATCCCAAATTTACAGATTGGCGCTATCATAAATAATTAATACTTTTGAAGATTCCTCGTTGAAGGACGACAATTTAAATTGAGTCAAAACAAGTCTAAATTCAGGACAATTGATTTTAATTCAAATTCTTTTTAACTGTATCAAATTAAGTTGATGTAGCAAATTGAGTGACCTCAAGGTAAAGTTGAGAATAGTACTTCAAGCGGGGACAATTCTATACTTTGTAAAATAAGAACAAGTGCAGTGATGTAAAGTGCTGCCTTGTCTTAATCTATTAGAACAGGAGTCTCTAAAATGTTGCTTGAAACTTTTATAGCCTTATCTTCTACATACTAAAAGTTTAAGTACATATAATATAAAAAAAAATTTGCTCAATATATATAATAACTAGCTTTTGCCGCGACTTCGTCCGCGTGGAATAGTGACTTCCGGCAGATTTTTGGTTCTTCCCACATAGTTCCCGTTCTTGCGGGGTTTTCAGAATGGTCGAGTTCCCGTAGAATTTTGAGGATAAAACCTATGTTTTTTTTTTAATTCACAATGAAGTACTCTTAACTAATAACATATTTATTTGTTTATTTGAATAAAGATTAATATTATTATGTTGATACAACTTAAACAAATTATTTCGACCAAATTAGGTACCATAAAAACGGTTTTTGTGAATTAATCTTATAAGATAGACATATACTGTCGCGGACTGTTTTTTAGATCATTAAAAGAGCTATTATTCTTTCATACATATTTTTTCAAAGGAAGGAAGAAAGGCTTCAAAGATGAAATAATTTCTCCCGTTTTTACACATTTACCACTATATCTTTGCTCCTATTGGTTGTAGTGTGATGTTATATAGCCTACAGCCTTCTTCGATAACTGGACTATCCAACACAAAAAGAATTATTCAATTCGAACCAGTAGTTTCGGAGATTAGCGCTTTCAAACAAACAAACTCTTCAGCTTTATAATATTAGTATAGATTACATAGTTTTGTTCTGAAACCATAAACCAAGTTTTGTGATAATTCATACAGAAATAAATATCTTAAAATCTTCTTAGAACTACACTTAAAACAGTGTTTTTGTAAACATATAAAAGCAGACACAATGAGTATTTAAATTCTATCTAGATAATATAATACATGATTGAAGATAATTTGTTGCAAGAAGCGTGAAATGAAGGTATCGCTGAAAGTTGAATACTAAGACTTTTTAAATTTATATTTTTTATTTAAACATTTGTATATGTAAAATTTCAGATTTGAGTTAAAAACGTTCAAAGCTTTATTATTTATAATATTTTAGGGTTTTAAGAGAAAGCA